TTGTTGATAAAAGATGCAAAAGAAGATTTTGCAAATCTGAATAACTTAGTTTCTTTATCCAGGGAACACGCTTTGAAGTATCAACTCCTGATCTTTCACAGTCAACTTCAACATAAGTAAGTCTTCTGCAACAATTTAATCACGAGTTAATGAAATGCACATTTTTTTAATTAAAAAACATAAAATCATGCAACTATTTTTTTAAGTAAAATAAAATAAATACTTCAATACTATTTTATTATCCTTTTTAATAAATGTACTTATTTAAACTTACTCATTGCCTGTGCCGATCCAAGCATTCTATCCTTGAGGCGCACAATATCAGAAAAAAAATGTTTTATGAAATATGATTCCATGCTCTCCCTAATGGAATCCTTCAAATACAAAATTACCCGCATCATCAGATAAACTTAGCAGTGACAAAGGCTGCTGAAAAGGACCAGAAAAACTTCTGCTGCTACTGCTCGGGATCGTTTCTCCTCCCAATCGGCCCTCCTTGCTTTAGCCTTACCTCCCGACTCTTACTCTCTCTATCAAAGTGGGGTGATCTGCAGAAAATATTTCGACGCTCAAATCAGAACTTATCTTCGCAAGTCTATCGAAAATTAGTCAAAGAACAAAGAATTTACCTTATCAATCGATTGTTATTTATATGGTTTTAAAGAGTATTATCCATTACTTTACCTCTTAATGACGATCAATGCTTACCTTAACTGTTCGACACTGACCGTTACATCATTAATTATGCATTCATGGTCATTCAAAGGCTGTCTCCAGCCAATCAGCTGGAGAGTTCGCAAATACTACCCTGACGTCGATCGACTTCCATCAATCTTACGGGCCCGGTCGGTCGATTGGACAATCGGTCCCAGCTAGTCGGTAGCGACTAAGCATATCCGGTCGGCCGAACCTACTCGATAGTAACAGATTTTAAATTTAATTTAACTTTATAAATATTTATTTTTATTATAAATTGATTTTATCTCTAATGGATATAGGAGACTTTTATAAAAGTTAAGTAATTTAATTTACCTTGTAATAATATCGTGCATCACCAAAAATGAAGTCTATTTCGCCTTCAATGTTAATGTAATGGCGTCCATTAGCATTAAACAAAGGGTCTTGATAACCCATAAAACTACAATTATACAAGAAAGATTTGTCTCCGTATATTCTTGCCGCCAATGCTGTTGAACTAGTTCTGTATGTAACAATACTGGAGATAAGAAAAATTGGAACATTATGAATGAATGATTGTAGTATTATTATGGTTGAAGTGAAAAAGTTCACCTTGAAAGTTATGCTAGTTACAATCACAAAAGGTGGTGATGAAGTAAATGTAGCACTATCACCTGTTCCGTTGGTCTGAAACTATTGTGCTTTGCCTACCTTCTTGTAAAATGGTGCATGACTATTTCTGAAACCATTGTGCTTTTCAGTTGCTACGTTATATAATTTTCAGAGAAGTAGTTGACATATATATTAAGGTGTCTTAGCTAGTCTGGGAAGGCCTCTCTGTACCCTAATGAGCTGAAAATACTTGTGTGAAGGTAGGTCAGTGAGTGCTTATATCCATTTCAGAATTTAAACTTATGTATAAGATATTAGATTCTGGAAATTTTTATTAGATGCTCTATTATATCATTATAAATTTGTAAGTTCTGATATGCATTAGATGTTGTTATATCATTAGATGCTCTGTTACATCACTGTAAATTTATATCAAACAGAATTTGTGTTAAATATTATGCATGTTGAATTTATAAGCTATGACAGTCTGAACACAGGAATACAAAAGTTAATGAAGTGTTAAAATAATATTATGTATTATTAATATAAAATTGTTAAAGAATGATTTAAATTATAATAAAGAGATATTTATAAAGACGAAGTATTAGATGAAAGCAGAAAAAGTGTAATTTAGTCCATATATATTCCGAAGTATTTCTTTATTTTGAATTTTAATTATAAAAATGAAATCAAAATCATAATTATAATCAGTAATTGAATTTTGTCAAAGAAAAACAAAATTTGGTAATGTAGTGACTGCTAGCAGGAATTGAAATGAAACGACCTCGTTACATCAAGTCGTAAATGTTAAGCCCGAACCTAAACCCAGTACGCTAAACCCCGACGCCCAAAAATCTGCGAGCAGGCGCCACCACCGCCACCGGAATCTATTACTTAGTCGCCGATAATAATCATCGCTTTCCGATACCTATTAAGCAGATTTGCGGGCTCACACACTTCTTCCATCTCTATTGCGCAGCGATATCACTAATCCACACGCCTTTGACGCGAATGAGAAGGTTCATGCGTTTAACGCCTGTAAGTGGAGGAACGACAAATCTCAAAACTATTCAAAATCTCTGTTCCTTTTTTCTGGAATCGTTCACACTATGGATTCTTCCAATGCAGTATCGGCGCCATTTGCTTTCGTCTGTGACCTCGGAATCGCTCGTGGACAAAGGAGAATCGTCATTCAGCAAATTCTTGTCGGCTGGCCAATCGTTTTTTCTGGCTCGGGGCACGTTTCAAAATTTTCGTGTTTATTGCATAATAATTGGTTTTTCGATATTTCTTAAACGAAATTATTGTTCTGCGTATCAGCTTTGGTCAGTTGCGGTTTCGTCAGGAAAACAGAGGAGTCTGTGATTCCGAGAATACCGTTTAGATATCGTTATTTCCATGCCACAGGTTTTGTTGGATGTGATGTGAATTGCATTGTTTTTATTAATATTGGTGATTTGTGATGTCTATACCTTGAGGTTTTCATTTGGTTTCCCTTTCTGCTTGTATTGTCCAGCATTGTCTTCTTCAGCTGACAGAGACTACTATCGAGTTCTTGGTATTCCTGAAAATGCCAGTCAAGATGAGATAAAGAAGGCCTTTCACTTGGTGCGTGAGTATCTGGAATCTCTTGTTTTGTATGGCTTAGGACACATTGATTGATGAAATCTATACTTGTTAGGCTAGGTAGAGCGAAAGTGAAGTCTATTGGAAAATTGCCATGTTTTGTTTGGGCAATGGGGATGATTCAATTTTCATCTCGAACACTTTTTGTAGGAGAGATGAAATTTAATTCAATTGCTTTGTACCTGGTAGGAGTGTCAAGAATGGAAAATTAGTCTATTCTCAGTTGGAGGAATATTTTATTTCAATTGCTTTGTACTTGTTAAGAGTGACAGCAATGGCAGATTAGATGATCTATTCTCAGTCACGACAAAATTTAATGTTATCAAACAAGGTTTAACTATGGTAAGAAGAAGACATTAAGCCTAACTCAAATACAAATAAAAAATAATAACAAACTAACTAAACATAAAAAATAAAGATAAGATAAAGATAATATATCTAACGAACTATAAGATTTGGAAATCTTATAGTTGCTAAACTTGGTTTAACTGTTTATATGCTTGTGCTGATCTATAAAAGACATGTATGGAGGAATACTTTATTGTTTGATAACTCATGAAAGTAAGACCGGGGACTTTCTTAAAAGGATAGGCTTACATTAGGATTCATCTTTGAGTTCATGTTCTATTTAGTCTTCGATGAGCATAACAGAGACATAAAAAGTATCCTTAAATCATGTTTTCTGTGGGCAATATAGTTTTTATTGTGGAAGCAAGGTAGATGTTAACTATAAATTTGGGTTTTGGAGATTTACATTATAAACAAAGGATTTTTCTTGAGTAGTAGTACTCAATATAAGCAATTTTAGCAAAAAAACAATAGGAGAATTACTTCAAAGTAGAAACTGGAAATGTCTATATATTCCATCATCACACTGTTTTGACAACAATATTAAAAAATTAAAGGTCTTCTTTTAGTTAATAATTCATCATGCAACACTTTTCTGTGTTGTGCAGCTCGCTAAAAAGTACCATCCAGATGCAAACAAGAACAATCCATCTGCTAAAAGGAAATTTCAAGATATAAGAGAAGCTTATGAGGTCATTATTATCATTTTATGAAATTTTAGTTTTTTCTATTGCATTTTCAGACCCCTTCCCTTCTTCAGGTTACATTGTTCATGGTATAAACTAATTAACTAACATTGATATTTTCATTTTCTGTTTTGCTATGTAATTTCAGATATTGAGAGACTCTAAAAAGAGAGCACAGTACAACGAGGTAGTTTTTATATACTTTAGAACTTTAAATTCAAAATATTAGCCACTGTTCAATATTTCTGGAGCTTCAATTGTTTAACGCTGTCCAAATTTCTTTAATTCATAAATAACTCTTATTTGTGATGTTGAGTTAAATAACATTTTTCCATTATTTTCTCCAATGAACCCTTTTTTCAATTGAAGATGCGTTCTCGTGGTTCAGAAGATACAGGATATAATCATGGTGATGCAGAAAGGTTTAGAAATGCCTATCGTTCTCATTTTTCAGATTCATTTCATAAAGTATTCTCTGAGGTATTTTTGGCTTTCTAAATTATGTCTTCTTTTATTAATTAAGAAATAAATTAATTGAATATATATTATCTTGGTCATGTGATTACATATGAATAGTCAAAATTGGTTTTGCTTGATTTATTATTGAGCATTCATTGAAGGGTCACTATCACTTCTTATCTTGCTTGGATGCTCTTACATGATACCCACCTTCTGTCTCTCTACACACTAGTGCACACACATTCTTTATGCTTTTGGATTCATTTCGTAAAATATTGTGAAGAGGAAATCTCGCAATTTTCTTGATGTACCAGATATTTGAAGAAGCAACTACTCAATTCTCATCAAACATAGAGGTTAGCTTAACCATTGTTCCTCTGTAGCTTGAGATATATTCCTACTTTTACATACTTAATCTTTTGCTTAATGCTATGCTGATAGGTGGAGTTGTCTCTTACTTTCTCAGAAGCTGCAAGAGGATGCACCAAACACGTGTCATTTGATGCATTCGTTCCGTGTGATTATTGTAGTGAGTAAAGTTCATATATTTTGGGAATCAAGAAAACTTTTTTATTTTCCATTTGTTATTAATGGTTTAGGAAATGGAAAAATATTGTTTTCATATGAATAAATTTTGATTACAAAAGAAGTTTAGCACATAATCTTGTGCACATAAAAATTTGATGCCAAACACTTTCATTGTATGAATCCAGATGGGCAGGGCCATCCTCTTGATGCCGTTCCAATAGTTTGTCCAACATGTAGGGGCTTAGGTCGAGTAAGTGCCTTCAAAAAGCAATGTTGATTATTACTTAATATTATATTCTTTAATCTTGATTGTGATGTATTTTTCCAGGTTACAATCCCCCCATTTACATCAACATGCATAACCTGTAAAGGATCAGGCCGAATTGCAAAGGTGTTTCATAAATTCCATGTCGAGTAGTTTTGTATTGTTGTTTATCTATTTTGTGTCATAATCTTGCATAATTTGTATTTTCTCTATCTAATTGGTGCAGGGCTTTTGTATAACATGTAGAGGATCTGGGGTGGTTGAAGGGGTTAAAGAGGTTAAAGTTACTATACCAGCAGGTTGGTTTTGGTACTTTTGACAAACTTACCTTATGTGTGTTGGTTAGAGCTCATCAATGTAACTGAACATAGTGGAATACAACTTGGTTTTTGCTGACCTGCCCTGCGTGGGTTTGGTTTACATTCTGCCTCCTATATTTTATTCAAAGAATAATCCTCCCCTCCCCCCATTCTTATCATAGGTGTGGATTCGGGAGATACAATCCATGTGCCAGAAGGTGGGAATGCTGCTGGAAGTGTAGGCCGATCTGGAAGTTTATACATTAAAATAAAGGCAATGTTCTGTCCAAATATATAGTGTAGATCTCACAATATGCTATCTGCTGGCCTATTGATCTGTGGTTTTAACCAACTTTAGCATTTTAGAGGGAAATAGGGCTTGTTTAGGAAGCACGCACAACCAGTTCTTCCTAAATGTGACATATTTCATTATAAATCTGAGATTCATTTGGGCACGCATAATAATTATCTTCGGCAGTTCAAAATTAGGTCTACTCAATTTAAAAATTAAAAGGCCTATAGACACATTAGATTTATGATGTAGCAGAGGGGCATTTGGCAAGCTGGGGCCAGTGCCTCCCTAGATAGCCTGAAAAGTTATTAAAGAAAATATTAATTCTAAACTTTGGGCTCGTGTTCTCAGAGTACTTATTTTTTTCATGTAACTTCCTTCATTGTAAGTTCAAAACTGTAAAACCTGCTTCACTTAATGTACACTGCTTGGTCTCCTTAACTCATAAGTATTTGCTTCATACATTTTTATTTATTTTTTCAGATTTAAGCATTCTTGCCCTCGTGTCTCTACTGATTAAAAACTATATTCTTCTTAGCGTACATAATGGAGCTAATGTCCGTTCTGGTTATCCAATGACGCATTTAACATAAAGTAGTCTTCTAGGTACTGTTGATTTTACATTAGTCCTTCAATGAATATTATTACCATCAATAGCCCTTTCCAAAACAAATTTGATTTCGTAAACTAAAACTGTATTCATGAATAGAACAGCGTAACATTTAAATAACTTAAATACTCATAAAATTTAAGACTATGGATGTCCAAAATGGAAATTGACTCAATACTCATAAAATTTAAATAACTTAACAAAGTTGGTTTTATGTTTTGTTAGATTGTTACACTTTCTTTGATGAAATATTTTCAAGAATTCTTTTGTAAAGTTTGAGTTTACTTGATAAGTTAAACCCTGAACACCATGACATTTGTGTCATCAGTGAAAACTCTTGATATAAATAATCTTACAAGTGTACAAGCTTCTTTTACTTTGGCCTGCTCAAGAAAAAATATCTAACTCTTTCCTAGGGTTAATAGGTTAGTACCTCAAAAGGTTATTTACCAGTAGTCTAGTTAGGTTCAGGTAAGTGCAACATCATAGAAGTGCTTTGCTTTCCTAGATCATGTAATTACGGAGGCAAATTTTATAATACTGTTGCACATCTCAGTATTCTTTTCCATCTTGATTATATGTCACTGTATAAAATTTCAAACCAGTAATGTGCTTTCTGCAATAGTACTATTACATGTTTGTTTGTTGTGGCAAATTATGTTCTGTACTTCTATTCTTATTGAAGCATACTTTTTTTTCCTGTTGATATAGGTGGCAGAGGATTCAATATTTACCAGAGATGGTGCAGATGTCTACGTGGAGTCTAATATTAGCTTTACACAGGTGAGAACTATATATGTTCCACGCTTTCATTACTGATTGATGTATACTAAGATATTATAAATATGAAACTAGAGAGGGGATTACATGCTCTCTCAAATTCACTCTAACTCTGTATTTCCTCAAGTGCCATTACATGCATTTTATTAGAAAATATCATTTAAATGAGTCCCACTATAAGACACTTGCACATACCATCTTTTGCATCTTAATTATCTGATTGAAAGTGCACCTAAGTTGATATCAGTGTTATTAATCAAACAAAAGCTTTAATATTGCAGGCTATTCTTGGTGGTGAAGTTGAGGTGCCTACTTTATCCGGGAAGATGCAATTAAAAGTAAAACAAGATTTATTTTCAATGTCTTTTTTTTTTTTTTGCATAGAGTAGTTTAGAGGAATGGAGTATGGCTCATTTAAAGGTCAAGGCATGTTAATTATAGATTACTACCAATGAATCCCTACAGCTTTTACTGATACTATTTGATCTTTTCCTGTTGAGTGATTTTAGACAACTTCATCAATAAAATATTTTTATTACACTGAAATTGAAATGATATATAAGATTAGCATACCCCTCTTTTTCTTTTGTATCAAGGTTTTCCTCATGAGTCGTGTCTTGAGAGACGTTCTTTTTAAACCTCCAGAATGTTGGAATATATGAAAATATCTTATCACACAATACCTTATATTATCTCCAGTGATTACTCTCTCCTATCCTCTCAATATCTTTTAGGCTTGACTATTATATTCCTTATTCTGTCATATGGTTTGTTTCCCTGACTTGTTGGAATTATATTAGTATAAAAAAGAGTTAGTGTTCTAGGTTTTATGATCACACTAATGTGCATACATTGCAATGCATCTTAGTTAATAGATGCAATTTGGTGTTATAATCTCTTTTTCCTTCCTCTAACCTTAAATCCCATAAGCTTTAAAGACGTACAGTACAACAGTGTACACAATTAAGTCCATAGTAGTCAATCACGTGCTGAAGTGTCACACAATAGGATTATAGGACAGTAGTAGCCATTGCAACATTTTTTTGTCAAAATGATAACTTTCCTGCTTAACATTGTAATTGTTGTATTCCAAATTTATGTTCTAAATCTTAATGCTGAAGGGACGTCTTTTGGTGGGAGAAAAACAAGCCGGGCTGTTTGTTAGTTAAGTGGTTATTCAATTAGTGAGTCCAGTGGCTGATGATGTATATAAATAGACAGGGATTGTGAGTTGGGTCATACATTGAGAATATTTGTATAGGAATTGAGGGAGACTTCGACCTTTCGAGAGTCCAGGAATGTTCTTAATAAATTTCATTCATTCACTTGTACCTGAACTGGTTTTTATCATATTGTTTCCATTTTCAAATTATGACTTCTTGTTTTGACCATACTTTGTATAATATTCTGCGATTGTGTTCCCCTCAGATACCCAAGGGTGTTCAACATGGACAGCTTCTGGTACTTAGAGGCAAAGGTTAAATGAAATGTTCTCTTTATGGACAGTTTTTTGGACGAGGTTTTAGTCCGTTTCTATCATGGTGCTGGAAAAGTATATTTACCATAATTGTTAATGCAGGACTTCCAAAGCATGGGTTTCTTGTACATCATGGGGATCAATATGTACGGTTTCGTGTTAACCTTCCCATGTACGTTCCTTGCACTCATCTTTTGTTGTAGTTTAACTTAAAAGACCTCAGACTTTGAGGAATGTGCTATTTATAATGTAAAGATGCAATATGATACTTTTCCTTATATTGGTTGATATTATGACATTGTGGAAAATGGATTACATTATTGTCAGCTCTCCTTTTTCCCTTTAGATATAAGATTCCATCTAAGGAATACACAATATCTTGTGGTAGATCTCTCGTCAATGAGACAACAAACCCAATTTGCATCACAATACCTTAAGACTTGGGTTCTCATACCACAATCCTTGTCCTAGGGTCCCTTTTACATATTTGAGAATGCAAATCACAACATTCTAGTAAACAATGTGAGAGTTTTGTATAAATTGACTTACAACTCTCATTGGAAAAGAAAAATTGAGTCTTGTCATAATAAGATAGATGAGTTTCCCACCAATCCCCTATATCTCTGTGGGTTTTGAAAACATTTCACCTTGGTCTACTTTTGATTCAAGTCTATAGGACTATCAATGAGCTTGCAAATTCCCAAGTCAGTCTCCTCTTAAGCATCAAGAGTATATTTTCTTTGTGAAATGATAACACCTTCTTTTGATTGCANAAAGGTTAAATGAAATGTTCTCTTTATGGACAGTTTTTTGGACGAGGTTTTAGTCCGTTTCTATCATGGTGCTGGAAAAGTATATTTACCATAATTGTTAATGCAGGACTTCCAAAGCATGGGTTTCTTGTACATCATGGGGATCAATATGTACGGTTTCGTGTTAACCTTCCCATGTACGTTCCTTGCACTCATCTTTTGTTGTAGTTTAACTTAAAAGACCTCAGACTTTGAGGAATGTGCTATTTATAATGTAAAGATGCAATATGATACTTTTCCTTATATTGGTTGATATTATGACATTGTGGAAAATGGATTACATTATTGTCAGCTCTCCTTTTTCCCTTTAGATATAAGATTCCATCTAAGGAATACACAATATCTTGTGGTAGATCTCTCGTCAATGAGACAACAAACCCAATTTGCATCACAATACCTTAAGACTTGGGTTCTCATACCACAATCCTTGTCCTAGGGTCCCTTTTACATATTTGAGAATGCAAATCACAACATTCTAGTAAACAATGTGAGAGTTTTGTATAAATTGACTTACAACTCTCATTGGAAAAGAAAAATTGAGTCTTGTCATAATAAGATAGATGAGTTTCCCACCAATCCCCTATATCTCTGTGGGTTTTGAAAACATTTCACCTTGGTCTACTTTTGATTCAAGTCTATAGGACTATCAATGAGCTTGCAAATTCCCAAGTCAGTCTCCTCTTAAGCATCAAGAGTATATTTTCTTTGTGAAATGATAACACCTTCTTTTGATTGCACCACTTTAATACTGAGAAAATATTTTACATAACCATGAAATGTTGTGTGGTGGTCACCCTGGACAATCTCAATTGTGGTGTCACTCGTCCAAGCAGTGATGGAGATGGCAAAGGCGGCAACACGGAGGGTATCATATTAGGTGGTTTAGTACAGTGGTGGAGAAAAACAATTGGTTGGAAAAAAAACAACTAAGAACAATGTCCGAGAAAATTTTCCAAAAAAAAGAGAGTTTAGCAGAGGTTAACCCATCGGGAGGCAAGGATTAAACCTAACTCTAATGCGATGTCAAAATAAAAGGGAGAGAAAGGCATATAGACTAAATCTCTAATGTGTGTAGAACACACAAGAATATGCATTTATAAGTAGAAAAGTACAAAGAGATGGGCCTAAGCCCTGTTACATCTAACAAAAACAATGCAAGGAGTAGCAACTCGTGGGTGTGACCCATTATTTTGCAGTACCTTTTAAAGTCATTTCACTACTTATTGTGTTACTGTTTATTCTTGTTTGGTCAATGCTTGCTGCTCGGGTTGAATTTGCACCATATCTTATTGAATTTGCTTATGTGTGATGTTTTTTGTGCCTTACGATAAATGGTATCTGGATAGTGCTTTGCCTTTTCTTCTTTGATTATCCTTACAATAAACTCTGATATGCTTTCTTCCAAGTTGGATTTGCATTAACTCACTTCTGGTCTACTCATTCTTTTAGTGCAATCAATGAACGACAACGTGCTATACTTGAAGAACTTGCGAAGGAAGAAATAAATGAGGGAAACAGCTCTTCATTTGGGGGAAATTGGTATGCATATTCACTGACTAAGTTCTTGGCATAGCGTACTAGTTTTAGTTGCCTATGGTCCTCGTAAATATTTGATGATTCCATGGCTAATTGGGTTGGGCTAGATGACAATACGGATACCTATAGTTGAGAGAATAGTGGGTCAGAATGCTTTGAAATTAAAGTAACTTGTAAAACATATAATTGTAAAGCATGCTATTCCTTATCCTAAGTAAAGCATACCCTTGTATGTATTTACTTGATAATTTCTTGAGTATGTTTGCTTCATTTGTTTGGTTTAGTTTTGTGTGACTATCTATGTTTTTGAGTGACATCTGATTGTAATGAAGACAAAAATGGATAACAGGCTTTACCAGCAGCTATCTACTGGTTGAACTTACAGGTGGCAGCAAATTCTTGAACACACGACGGCCCCAAAGTTCATGCTGGAACTATCTGTGCTGATATTATTCCTTGTCTTCGTTAACAAAGTGTTGACCTGATAGCTGGGTCAAAGATCAAATAGGATTGAGCAGCAGACTAGCCAAAGACCAAGTTTTTGTGATTGCTACGTTCTTCATTCTTAAGAACCAAGTTAACTATAAGGTATATCACTGAATTTATCTCCTTCACTGGTAGTTTCTAGCTGTCTTTTATTTGATGCATGCATGTTTCAAAAGATAGCAGAAAGAGTTGGTTGATCAAAATGCAGCTCCATGAAGTAGCATATGCCAATTAATGCTGTTGACTGTCCTATCAATTAATCGAAAACGTTGCATGCATGCACATGTCTCACTGATCGAGTTTTTACAAGCTTCATTAATTTTCGTTATTGCCAATCATCTGATGGTGAAAGGAAATGCAATGAGATTAGTTTGCCAAGAAAAGCAAATCACATAATGTACTTTGTTAACAGTCAAGCAGTTAGCGTGATTCATTATTATACTTGGTCCATTAATAGATCGATCAAGGGACTAAATTATCCAAACAACTTGGAACGATAGCTAATTTTGCTGATTACTCACTTTGTCCCATTGTGCCAGTTTTGGGTTGAGTGGACGAAGTTGCAACTTACATCTGTGGAACTTAGGACTACGGAAAACGACGCTATCGCTGATTGATGTTCTTTCGGGGCCCATTTATTTTAAATGTTTTCAATTTTTCAATGGATAAGATTGACAACATTGAAAATTTATTTCATGAGACTTGTACAGTTTTATTGATTAATGCGAAGGTCGCCGTGGGTTACAGCTATCGAAGATGGGAACTTCCAATATATATTTGTTTCCCTTGGCTTTATAGATATATTTACAGTACCTTTCATGTTGTAATTCAATCCGCTCCTGGGTTTAGGGGCTGGTTTTCTTTTATACTTCAAATTGTATACCTTGTACTTTCTGGAATTCAACGAATGATGTATCAATGAGTGCTAGCTTCTAAGCACAGAATTTTATTAATTGAAAGATAATAGATTGTCAGGTTATTTAGAGTAAGTTATAATATTTGTTAAATATAGGTTCGCAAAATATTATTAGCCTTTTTCGGATAAACCATAGTTTCAAACCTGAAGGCCGAATAAAGAGGAATAAAAAGGGGGAAAAGTAAGGAAAAAATAGTTGTCACAGAATATGTACTTTCCAATTTCAAGGTGTAGACTGGAATAAACAGAGGATAAAAGGGAAAAAAATTGAGAAGCCAAAAGTGATCCAAAAGTTAGATAAAAAAAGGGAAAATTACATTTACTAAAATCTCATTACACTTGCACTCTATCTAATTTTAGGATAGAGATTAACTTTCCTTAAAATTTTAGTAGGTATAATACCTATTTTTGTTCCAATTTTTGTTGGTGGTTGGAAATGTTTGAAATGGTCTCAATTTTTTTTTTGCTGTTTAAGGTAGTCCTAAAGAATGTAATTTGTGTTCAATTTAATTTTTTTGCAAACGTCGTTTAAATCGTTAACGGGTAGATGTTTAGATGTGCAATTACAGAGTGAAATTTTATGTATTGGCTTATGTGGAGTCCTTTGTAGTGTTGTGAATTGGATTTATTATTTTTGAAATTCTATTTCTTTTATTAGGGTTATTTTTTTGAAAAATAAATTAAAGGTATTTAGTTGTAAAGTTTTGATCGTGGTTTGGAAGGGAAATTTGCAAGATTGGGAAGTACATGTTTGGGAAAGAACACCAGTGACGTGTAAGCCATTCATGGACAACTTTTTTGGACACCCAAACATCTCATTCGTACCCTTGTATTATCATTCTTAATAAAACTTAAGATTTTAAAATAACATGGAAAACAAGTAAACAAGATGAGAGGATAAGTAACATCTACCTTAGCCACTTAACGTAAAAATTAAACAACAATTACTTAATTGAAAAATAAATATTTATTAAATACGGATAAACCATAAAATTAATTAGAGATTTAATTTAAATTTAATTAATTTTCCATTTATTTAATTACTTTTGTCCCGTGGTCCATTGATGTACTGTCTTCTTTTATGATATTTAATATTTTATTGGGAAAGTTATTAATTATAAATGAAAGTT